TTCCCGTCTCTAAAAGCAGGTGCCATCTCTATCCTCCCTACACATTCTCACTTCTGTTGTACGTATTGTGAGTTGGGCAGCGAGCAGTGAAGTTTACTTCACTGTAGTACGCTGTACAACGAGCAGCGATGCATATGTTGTCCGCAGAGCAGTACAACTCTCTGTAAAATGTTTCTTGACCCTTTCACCTGTGTTCTGCATTGTCATATGCCTAGTGAAAGTTAATGACTTGTTTTAAATCGATGTTTACTATATAGCACTGTTATAATTCACTGCAATAGTGGAGAAATTATAGCAAGAATTGTGGGTATTTCTCTCCGGCGATCGGCATGGTTACAGATTTTTCAATGTTTTCAATTGTACCGAGTCGTAGTAATCATTTCATTTCGTCTGTTCATTATTAAATATTTTTTATTACGCAATGTGNACAGGTAAAAAGGGAAAGCCCATGGAATACTGTAAAAGGGAAAAGTTGGGAGGGTGTTCTAAAAATTTGCTGTGTAGTTGATGGACGGGCCAAAGTTGTCGAACGAGGGAACTGCCGAGGAAAGCTCCGGAGAATAAAAAACAAAGTTCGACGATATACTAGTGACTTAGAATTGTAGTTTAGGAGAGAATCATCAATTAGCAACCGGACGGTCTTTCATTGAACACGATTAAGTAAGGAAAGAGACGAAGAGGCCCCAACCTACACGTGACTGCCGTACTGAAGATCAGGTTTGATTTAAGTTCTGTACTGTAGAAAAATCGGAGCTGCAGATATCTGTTCTAAGTGGGGTTTACGTTACTTTTGTAAAACAACACTCACCCTTCACGTTATCTGCAACAGCTTTTCGGTGTTGTCAGATCGGGAAACGTTTTGTCGATTATCTACCGCGTTTCGTTGCCTGTTATCACATAACATAATGGCACCGTGGTCCACCGGAGTTATGGTCGAACAAGGAAACTATATGCTAAGGTGACCGATATTTCACCAAAACGAAATCGCATTTATGATAAAAACAGGTTTGTGAATCACATGTTTGGAACTCTGAAATTTTTCGAACAGAACTAATTGACACGTTTTCTTCCATTTTTTTTTTGGGGGGGGGAAAGGCAGTTCATGTTGGTGTTTCTTGCAGTATATCCCTGCAAGTTACCGCTGCCTATTCTGGCAAATTCGGTGTTCAGAGAGCTATAACTAGCTTCATTTGGTTTAACTAATTCAGAATGTGTGCATTTTTCATATTCAGTATTTCTCCATGACATGAGGGTATGAAAACCCTAACCAGGAGACTAGGCCACATAGGCCCCGATGGCTAGATACGCTGAGTAATATGGCTGGATGTCGCAAACAGTGGCGCTCGTGCATCCACTCATTATTCCCCTAACATCATTCTATTTGAACTCTCCATCTTCCTTTTGAATTTGCTTTCAACGTTCCAATCTTCTTTATACTCTTATATCCAAATGGGGCACTAAAAGACAGCAGCCAAAACCGGCGCACGAAAGTGCGTGGTTAATGGTTGTAAAAACTGAACTGAACTGAAACTGATCTTTGTTTTTAAAATCGAATTGTGACAGATTCTTAAGCGGTCCTAATTTTAGAGCCTAAAAACATTTTCGCGCGTTCGAATTAATGAGTTATGTGAAACATCCCTTTTCCCTTTATCCATTTCATCAACACTAGAAGACATATGTGGGCAGGATTGATATTGGGCGTTAATTTCGCGTGCTCTCATTCAGCTGTAAACGCACATTTATAGGATCATGTGAAACGAAGAAGCATAAGAGTTGAAATGAGTCATTTGAACAAAGTGTTGGACAAGTGAGTCGAGTGATTTGTGTTTGGTTAAGGGTCGAGGTCAAGTAAGATGAGAAAATTTGATATGGGGTGAACTGGACCAAACGATGTGGTGAGTGTGGTGAACTAGGGAGGGGTAGGGAAGGTCATATCACGTCATGCAATGGTAGCATGGTATCAAGTGATATCATCACTATCACGGCAAAAACGGTTGCGTCACAAATGTTTTTTGAACACAATTGCGGTTTCAAGCGATGAATAATTATCGCTTCTAAGAATCGCAAAGTCCGTGAACTTCGAAGCCTCGCAATGACTCGAAACGCTTTGGGTGCATCTACGTGGTGCCCACATATGTCTTCTGTTGTTGATGGAGTTAATGAGTTATTATGTAATATTATATATTTATTATTCATTGATAAATAAACTCCTCCGAGGTAATACAAATACTGTTCGATATAGCTAAACTAATTCCCGCTATCGATTTCAATGTGCATCCACAGGAATGGAAATGTGATTCGTTATGTGGATAAAATGCCTTCTGANGCCTTCTGATAAGGTTCGTCTCATGGTCTGCCATGGAGGTCAAGATGAGAATGTTCACTTCACCCATACGGCGAGACTGCTGAAAAAACTGGAAACAGCCGGAAAGCCTTTCACTTTTTTGGTTCGTTCCACCCTCGCTACGTGTTCCTTTGTTGTCCTATCAATAATTTTGCTATATTTTTAGCTACTTGCTAGTAGTATGTACTGACATTTGAAAATCGTTGCCGAAAATATTAGTGAATTGTTGGCTCTGTGGGAAGTAGATTGATGGTTAACATGTTTTGATCGCACAAAATTGTGTAGCAATACTAAATCAGTGATGATCCACTTGTCACCAAAAGTTCACCATTGCGGTTGCCTTACAGTGAGGGTTGGTTATATCTCTCTTTGTTTCGAAACAGCGAAGACCTCCCGCTTCTGGT